GTTGTTGAGTGCACACACAGTTGTTGAGTGTTCACACAATTGTTGAGTGCACACACAGTTGTTGAGTGCACACATAGCTGTTGAGTGCACACACAGTTGTTGAGTGCACACACAGTTGTTGAGTGCACAAACAGTTGTTGAGTGTTCACACAATTGTTGAGCGCACACACAGTTGTTGAGTGCACACACAGTTATTGAGTGCACATACAGTTGTTGAGAGTTCATGTTCACACAGATGTTGAGTGCACACACAGTTGTTGTGTGTTTATGTTCACACAGTTGTTGAGTGCACAAACAGTTGTTGAGTGTACACACAATTATTATTTGTACACACAGGTGTTGAGTGTACACACAGTTTTTAGTGTACATACAGTTGTTGAGTGCACACACAGCTGTTGAGTGCACACACAGTTTTGAGTACACACACAGTCGTTAAGTGTTGACACAGTTGTTGAGTGCACACACAGTTTTTAGTGTACACACAGTTGTTGAGCGTTCACACAATTGTTGAGTGTACACACGGTTGTTGAATGCACACAAAGTTGTTGAGTGTTCACGTAATTGTTGAGTGCACACACAGTTGTTTAGTGCACACACAGTTGCTGAGTGCACACACAGTTGTTGAGTGCACACACAGTTGTTGAGTGCACACACAGTTGATGAGTATTCACGCAATTGTTGAGTGTACATACAGTTGTTGAGTGCACACACAGTTGTTGAGTGTACACACAGTTGTTTAGTATTCACACAATTGTTGAATGCACACACAGTTGTTGAGTACACACACAGTTGTTGAGTGCACACACAGTTGTTGAGTGTTCACCCAATTGTTGAGTGCACACACAGTTGTTGAGTGCACATACAGTTGTTGAGTGCACACGCAGTTGTTGAGTGTTCATGCTCACACAGATGTTGAGTGCACACACAGTTGTTGAGTGTTTATGTTCACACAGTTGTTGAGTGCATACACAGTTGTTGAGTGTACACACAATTATTATTTGTACACGCAGGTGTTGAGTGCACACACAGTTGTTGATTGCACACACAGTTGTTGAGTGTTCACACAGTTGTCGAGTGTACACACAATTATTATTTGTACACACAGGCGTTGAGTGCACACGCAGTTGTTGAGTGCACACACAGTTATTGAGTGCGCACACAGTCGCTGAGTGTTCACACAGCTGTTGAGTGCACATACAACTGTTGAGTGTGCACACAGTTATTATTGCTACACACAGTTGTTTTGTGTACACACAGTTGTTGAGTGTACACACAGTTATTATGTGTGCACACAGTTGATTAATTTATTTATTTATTTATTTATTTATTTATTTATTTCAAATTTGAGCACACATACAGAGGTACAAAAAAATACAGATAAGAGCAGCATGCCAAAGCCACTTATACTATGCATAGCATTACGGGCTGGCTTAAAATTAACTTAAGATTAACTAAGCAATGATGAAATCAGTGATAAAACATTAATGTAAACAGATTACTATAAAGCACAAGTGAGTATTACAAAGACAGGTCATATGGTTGCATTCAGTTAGGTAGTGATTCTGTTAGGTAGTGTATTTAAAAAATAATAAAGTTAGATTGGGTTTTAGGTTTAACATTTATGTGATATAAATTGTGAGAAACATTTAAGATATACAATTTATAAGGTTCAGTTATTCAGTATTTATTTGGTTTTGGGTGAGTAAGTGATCTTTGAGAAGAGACTTGAATTTATAAACAGGTAGTGTTTCTTTTATATTTACAGGTAATGAATTCCAGATTTTAGGGCCTTTTATGTGCATTGAGTTTTTGCATAGTGTGAGATGGACACGAGGAACATCAAAGAGTGATCTGTGCCTTGTGTTATGGTCATGTGTTCTGTTGAGGTTGGCAAGGAGATGTTTGAGGGGAGGGTTAATATCAGAGTTAAGTGTTCTATGTATGTAATAGGTGCAGTAATAAGTATGGATGTTTTGTATGGTGAGTAGGTTTAGTGTATTGAATATTGGTGGAGTGTGCTGCCTGTAGTGAGAATTTGTTATCATTCTAACTGCAGCCTTTTGTTGAGTAATTAGTGGTCTGAGATGGTTAATTGTTGTTGAGCCCCATGCACAAATTCCATAGGTGAGATAGGGGTAAATAAGAGAGTGATATAGGGCCAGGAAGGCTGACTGTGGAACATAGTACCGTATCTTCGATAGTATGCCTACAGTCTTGGAAATTTTCTTAGAAATTTGTTGTATATGTGTATGAAATTTGAGTCTATTATCAAGGTGGATTCCTAAGAATTTTCCCTCTGTTAGTTTTGTGATAGGTGATCCGTTTATCATTATGTTAAGAGGGACATCTGTAGCTCTGTTACCAAACTGAATGAAGTAGGTTTTGTCAATGTTTAGTGTAAGTTTGTTAGTCCTCATCCAGGTAGATATTTTCTGTAATTCGGTATTTACAGTATTGGCTAGCATGACTGGGCTCGGGTGAGAGAAGACGTATGTAGTGTCATCTGCAAATAGTGTGGGTTTGAGTAATTGCGAAGCATTTGGAAGGTCATTTATGTATAGGAGAAAGAGAAGAGGGCCAAGGACACTTCCCTGTGGGACACCAACTGTAATTGGTTGAGCGGAAGAGTTTGCCCCATTTGCGTACACATATTGGCTTCTGTTGCTGAGGTAAGACTTGAGGTAGTTGAGGGAGTGCCCTCTTATACCATAGTGTGACAATTTTATATGGAGCAAGTCATGGTCAACTGTATCAAAAGCTTTACGTAAGTCAATGAAGATCCCCAGTGGGACTTCTTTTTTCTCTATTGCAGTGTATATATGTTCTAGCATGTGTATAATAGCATCATTAGTATTTTTATTAGGCCTGTACACAGAGCTGACACGTCAAAAAATTTTCTTGGTTCTGGTAGAAGGTTCCTGTTCCAAGGAAATGAAACAATCTTCCTTTCCCTGAATCAAATTTCTCTCCTTCCCCAGGCCGGGTGTATGGCTCATACTAGTTTAGCGCCTCCCTGTGTTACAAGGGGGAGCGTTAAACACGTAAGAGGTAATCCAGCTCCAGTCCTTTGGAACGAGAGCTGTTTTTAAGGTCCAGTGGTTGGAGCACAGCTTGGCCTCAGAATGATAAATAACCCAGTGATCATTCTGTGTTGTGTTATGTTGAGTGTATCATTCATGTTGTGTTATGTTGAGTGTATCATTCATGTTGTGTTATGTTGAGTGTATCATTCTTGTGTATTATTTCATTCTGTTGTGTTATGTTGAGTGTATCATTCATGTTGTGTTATGTTGAGTGTATCATTCATGTTGTGTTATGTTGAGTGTATCATTCATGTTGTGTTATGTTGAGTGTATCATCTATGATCCACTAGTTTTTGTGTGGTAAAGTCTCAAAAACTTCTTCCACTCCTAGGATATGTAATCCACCCTGTCTCTCTCTCTCTCTCTCTCTCTCTCTCTCTCTCTCTCTCTCTCTCTCTCTCTCTCTCTCTCTCTCTCTCTCTCTCTCTCTCTCTCTCTCTCTCTCTCTCTCTCTCTCTCTCTCTCTATCTATCAATCTATCTCTATCTCTATATCTCTCTCTATCTATCTATCTAACTATCTATCTATCTTACTATCTATCTATCTATCTATCTAGTTATCTCCCCTGCCTCACTTCTGTTACCTCATCTTAGAACTCGAGCAACTTTTTGAGGTAGGATTTACTGTACCTAAAGCAGTAATGGTTGTTGTTTCTGCACTTATTCCTTCTCTGTTTCTTCCTTCCGTTCCTCCCACGTGACGATTTTGTTGGGATTGTTAACCTGAAGGGTTAGAAACCCAGGATAACCCAGTGATGCCACTACCATCAGATTCTCTGTCTTATATCCAGTGGTTCCACTCGTCTGGGGATCGATCCCTGGTCCTTCAGTGTGTGAGAAGAGGAAGCTACTAACTGAGCCATTTCTTGGTAATTTCTTATGATCTCACCTCCCTTACTCAGCCTTATTACCTGGACCTTTACTGTGGTCTTCCTTCTGATGTTTCTATATAGCAACGTTGGTCAGATTTGGCTTGTGATGCAACACAAATTGTGGCTAAGCCTCTCTTCTTATACATATTCATTACTGTCTCTTTTGTTCAGTTTCCTGTTCTCCTTCATTCTATTCTTTCTGTATTTTTGTCATTGTTCTTGAATGTTTGATTTTTGCCTCTCTGCATAGCTGGCAAAATCGTAGGCTCACTCTGTTCTTACCAGTTCTTCTGTTCTTAGCTGTTACTTTCTCCTCTGACTTCCCTGCCTCCCGGCTCTTTCCACCTACATACTTCTTCGTTATCTTTCTTTCTAGTTCTCTTCCCCACTGAACTTCATTCAAGAAATGCCTTACGTCTGCGCAGCATCCAGATATCTTGTCATCTGCCATATTCACTCCCTCCTAGTGTGGTGGGTCCTATCATACATACTCTTAAAGCTATATATTACGCCTGCCTCCATTACGTCTTTATTCAGCTCATTCCACTTTCTGACTAACCTGAGGCTGAAGAAATGCTTCCTGATATCCCTATGGATCATCTGTAACTTTGCCTTCCAGCAGTGTCCTCGTGTGTGTGCAAGAATAATATTTTCCACCCACTTAAGATACACTCTTCACAACTAACTCAAAATCTAGAGAGGACCCTTTTTAGACGACGTTTCGGCCCATCCTGGACCATTATCAATTCATCCTCTGAAGCTGCTTACCTAAATTGTGCTAGATGTGAATTGTGCAAGTTTAGCTTAGGTAAGTTTCTCAAGGTCATATGATGACCTACAGCAGGAGCTTTTGGTCACCATACCGAGGCCTTCCACTGGCTCACCGGTCCACCCCTTTGAAAAACATACTTATGATAACGACCATTAATTATATACCACTGGACAATTTTGCCAGACTCGGTACTGCGACTTTCATTCTTCATTTGATTTACTATCAGTCAACTTCACGTTATTTATGGTAGGAAAATAACTTAAGGAAGAATTACATCATTCTACTGTTGTACTTTTATTTATATTTTAAAATATACAATTAGTTAACAAGAGCAATAATCTCAGAATGGATGGCTTCACAATGGGGAATTTTTTTCAAATTTATATTTGATTTGAGTATGTATACAGCACCACATAGTGACCAATAACCTTAAGGGGAATACACAGACAGAATTATAACAGAAAAATCTAAACGAACAAGTACAAGCCATAAATGATAGAGTTGTTAGTCCAATTACATAGTCGATGACATCATAGTAAAGTTAGATACAATTGGCAAATTTCATTAATTTCTCTGTGACTTGATCCAATCAATCTTCTCGTCACTCATGACATCACCGGAAGCTGCCTAAGCGCGTCAAGACGGGCAAATATTAAAGGAAAAAGAGTTCATGAAAAAATAGCTAGAAGAAGGTAAAAAGTGTAACCAATGAGCCTATTACACTCTTATGCCTCCTGTGCATAGCTGTGTTTTCGAGTGCTACTCGACACTCAAGTCAGTACAACTGAGTGGGATGTCTCTCAGATACAAAATTTTTACTGTTTTAATTCAGTACCTGACAAACCACGGATCGGGTGGGTTTTGAACTCATGGCAAGTGAGTCATAAAACTCCAGGCCAGTACGCAAGCCACTAGACCATGAGTTCAAAACTCACCCGTTCCCAGGTTTGTTTATAGTGGTGAGTCATATCTGACAAGGGATAACTCCGAAATGGTGCAACAACCTTCAGATGGATTTTTCATTATGGAAATATGAATCTATATTTTTTTTTTACGATAGAGGCCTAATAGTAAACAAAAAGAAGTTTCAGTATAGATGCCCTATGCATTATAACAAGTGGTTCACGAGGAGAGGCTGAAGAGAAACTGATCTGAAAGTTATGAAAATGAAATCGAGCAGACGTATTACTTCGAGTAACCGTAGGCGAAGTTTTGTGAGCGTGCCAAGGTGCGAGACTTCACCCTCGACTCGTTGTCGTAAGGATCGACGGACGAGGAACGAACAGTTCTGGTGTACTTGTAGCTGTCAGTGTCTCCGACGCTGTGTTTCCGCATCCTATTGATCATTTTGTTGATATTTTCGCTCAGCTCCTCGGATTCCTGCGCCTTTCGCTGGTCGAACATCTTCTTGGCTGAGCGGAACTTCTTATCATCATCGTCGAAGCTGCTTTTAATAGAGCGTGTAGTGGTGAGCTTGAAATCATCGTCACTCAAACTGAAGTTACGACGTCTCGGCCTTGTAGGAACTTTGAAGTCATAATCATCTTCTAAGCTTAGGAGACGAGAAGGCTTCGGGGGAGCTCTCGGGGGTTTGGAAGACTCGAACTTGCTGGTCTCTTGGTAAGAACTCTTGCGGACCGTGGTGCCTGTACCGGGGATCTTGTAGGAAATTTCATCCCTTTTGACGGTCTTTTTACCCGGGGCATCAAGCGCCTCATTATAGACCACTTCTTCCCACCTCTTAGCACGCGATCCAGTGCCCCTTTCAACTGCATCAGCCTTCTTGAACTGCTTTTCTAGATTCTTTATGCCATCCAAGATGCTCTGTTTTGCCGAAGGATTCAAACCAAAATCAGTATCACTGACTAAGTTCTTACCAACAGAAGTTTTGAATCCATAATCAGAATCGATGAACTTCTTTACTGGGTCTTTGAAATCTAGATCGTCAACGAGTGAAAATCTCCTACGGGGTTCCGGCTTTGCGTCGTCGAGGTCAAACGACAGATTCTTGGCCCGGCCTCGTCCTAACCTCGACGACCGAGGAATATCATCAGGTTCATGATCCCTGGAGGTTCGACTGGCGCTGGAGGAGCGACGATTGACTAAGTTCTTCGACAATGCTGCTTCGTCTTCACCATATGGGAGACCTCGGGCCGTCCCGTAAAATGGCTTACTAGCGAAGCGTTCAGCGTAAGTTGCAGCTTCCGGGGGCTGGACTTTGGAGCGCAGCAGATCACGGTTCTCGATGTAATCGGTCTGGGGATTGTAGTAGCTCTCGCCTACTTTGTAGTTGTAGTCATAGATGCGATAAGGCAGCTTCCTCTTCCACTTCTTTTCATCCATGCTGGCGGCTGCAACGAAACAAGAGAGTACAGTGCAACTATGGGATCTAAAAAAAATTTTCTAAATTAATCTAACGTTAGTTTCATTCGTTTACATACATGTAAATAAACTATCTAACTTACAGTTTTCTGTATGTTAGTATTGCTCTGCAGTAATTTCATCTAACTGTGAATTGGTGAAATAATTATAAGTGAAAAATGTGGATGATGGTGAGAGTGACGCTGAGATAATATTAATGATGAATAATTGTACCGAGTAAATATATGTATATATATAAATATATATATATATATATTATATATATATATATATATATATTATATATATATATTATTATATATATATATATATATTTATATATTATTATATATATATTTATATATATATATATTTATATATATATATATATTCAGGGAAACGGCAGGCCGGACTTGAGTCCTGGAGATGGGAAGTACAGTGCCTGCACTCTGAAGGAGGGGTGTTAATGTTGCAATTTAAAAACTGTAGTGTAAAGCATCCTTCTGGCAAGACAGTGATGGAGTGAATGATGGTGAAATTTTGTCTTTTTCGGGCCACCCTGCCTTGGTGGGAATCGGCCAGTGTGTTAATAAATAATATATATATATATATATACATACATATTTATGACAGCATGTAAAAAATTGTGACATCAACCGAGAAAAAAAATAGCCACACTTTATCTAGAGTGAAAAATAATATGTAGTGAGGATGGAGAGCAATATTTGATGATCAAGTTGCAATGAGTGTATGACACAGTCTGGACGACTGTGACTAACTTGCTAGACCGAGTGTGACTAACTTGCTGGAACAAGCTGGACCAAATGTAATTACCTTAATGAAACAAGGAGGTCGACTGACTACCTTCCTGACGAGTGAGCACTGACTCTAACATAAGTACTGACTCTAAAATGAGGAATGGCTCAACAATGGAGCCGTCCCATAACTCGAAGTGCAGACATTATATTTCCTCACTGTTAGACTCTTAGGAAGAGAGACGTGTGGATAATTGACATTCCCTCACCACTGAGTTACACGAAGCGATGATACAGAATATTTTTCCAGGTAACCGGAAAATACGTAGTGATGACGGTATGCAATACTACGCAGTGGCTGGCGAATAGGAAGGCAGTGACACGTTATGTCATGCAATGCTGCATTCTGATTGGCTAATACATGATAAAATACAAAACTGTGTTTGTGATTGGTAACAACTGGGCAGGTTTCAAACCTGTCGACTACACACATTCGCTGTTCACCAGCGGTAAAGAAACGTTATACCAGTTGTTGCACCTCTCATTGTATATACACTGAGAGGTATATACACCTCTCGGTGTATATAAACACTAAGACATACACTCCTCTCGAAGTAAATACACCTCAAGATACATATCTCTCAGTGAATATACACTGAGATATACACTGATCTCGATGTATATACACTGAGTTCTCTCGAGGTATATACACTAAAGGATGCACTCCTTTCTGTGTATATATACTGAGAGTACCATGCAAAATGCAATAGATATAGTAAGTAAAGGCAGTTGCAAGGTGGTTGTAGTAGCTAGATAGTGGTAGTTACAAGGTAGTGGTAGTTGTAAGGTAGTGGTAGTTGTAAGGTAGTGGTAGTTGTAAGGTAGTGGTAGTTGTAAGGTAGTGGTAGTTGCAAGGTAGTGGTAGTTGTAAGGTAGTGGTAGTTGCAAGGTAGTGGTAGTTGCAAGGTAGTGGTAGTTGTAAGGTAGTGGTAGTTGTAAGGTAGTGGTAGTTGTAAGGTTAGTGGTAGTTGTAAGGTAGTGGTAGTTGTAAGGTAGTGGTAGTTGCAAGGTAGTGGTAGTTGTAAGGTAGTGGTAGTTGCAAGGTAGTGGTAGTTGCAAGGTAGTGGTAGTTGCAAGGTAGTGGTAGTTGTAAGGTAGTGGTAGTTGTAAGGTAGTGGTAGTTGTAAGGTAGTGTGGTGTTGTAAGGTAGTGGTAGTTGCAAGGTAGTGGTAGTTGTAGGTAGTGGTAGTTGTAAGGTAGTGGTAGTTGTAAGGTAGTGGTAGTTGTAAGGTAGTGGTAGTTGTAAGGTAGTGGTAGTTGTAAGGTAGTGGTAGTTGTAAGGTAGTGGTAGTTGTAAGGTAGTGGTAGTTGTAAGGTAGTGGTAGTTACATCAGAGTAATTATTTTTTTACTATATGAGAGAGAGAGAGAGAGAGAGAGAGAGAGTGAGAGAGGAGAGAGAGGAGGAGAGAAGAGAGAGAGAGAGAGAGGAGAGAGAGAGACAGAGACAGAGACAGACAGACAGACAGACGTGTGATACGCATTTGGGGAGAACGGGGCTGGTGTATGAGAGGTGTGGTGTATGAGGTGTTGTATGGGAGGTGGGGTGTTTGAGAGGTAGTGTATGCGTGGTGGGAGTGTATGAGAGGTGGTGTTTTGGAGGTGGGGTGTATGAGAGGTGGTGTTTTGGAGGTGGGAGTGTATGAGAGGTGGTGTTTTGGAGGTGGGATGTAGAGAGGTGGTGTTTTGGAGGTGGGGTGTATGAGAGGTGGTGTTTTGGAGGTGGGAGTGTATGGAGGGTGGTGTTTTGGAGGTGGGATGTATGAGAGGTGGTGTTTTGGAGGTGGGGTGTATGAGAGGTGGTGTTTTGGAGGTGGGGTGTATGAGAGGTGGTGTTTTGGAGGTGGGGTGTATGAGAGGTGGTTGTCTTGGAGTGGGGTGTATGAGAGGTGGTGTTTTGGAGGTGGGGTGTATGAGAGGTGGTGTTTTGGAGGTGGGATGTATGAGAGGTGGTGTTTTGGAGGTGGGGTGTATGAGAGGTGGTGTTTTGGAGGTGGGGTGTATGAGAGGTGGTGTTTTGGAGGTGGGGTGTATGAGAGGTGGTGTCTTGGAGGTGGGGTGTATGAGAGGTGGTGTTTTGGAGGTGGGGTGTATGAGAGGTGGTGTTTTGGAGGTGGGATGTATGAGAGGTGGTGTTTTGGAGGTGGGGTGTATGAGAGGTGGTGTTTTGGAGGTGGGGTGTATGAGAGGTGGTGTTTTGGAGGTGGGATGTATGAGAGGTGGTGTTTTGGAGGTGGGGTGTATGAGAGGTGGTGTTTTGGAGGTGGGGTGTATGAGAGGTGGGGTGTATGGGAAATGGGGTGTATGAGAGGTGGAGTGTATGGGAGGTGGAGTGTATGGGAGGTGGGGTGAATGGGAGGAGGGTGTATGAGAGGTGGGATGTATGAGAGGGTGGGGGTGTATGAGAGGGGGGATGTATGAGAGGTGGGGGTGTATGAGAGGTGGAGTACATGAGAGATGGGGGTGTATGAGAGTTGGGATGTATGAGGTAGGGTGTATGAGAGTTGGGGTGACTCAGAACAGAAAGGGGGGGTAGGTAGAAGGTAGAAACAGGTTACAATACAATGTCAAGGTGCCAGAGAGAGGTGCCAATTAAATGAGTACCACTGTCTGTATGCCAGGTACCTGCAGGTAGTGCCAGGTACCTAGATGTACAGTGCCATGTACCTAGATTTACAGTACCAGGTAATTTGATGTACTGTGCCAGGTACCTAGATGTCCAGTGCCAGGTACCTAGATGTACAGTGCCATTTGTTTAGGAGTACAGTGCCAGGAACATAGATGTACAGTGCCAGGTACCTAGATGTACAGTGCCAGGCACCTAGATGCACAGTGCTAGGTACCTAGATGTTCAGTGCCAGGTACAAAGATGTACAGTGCCAGGTACCTAGATGTACAGTGCCAGGTACCTAGATGTATTGTGCTAGGTACCTAGATGTTCAGTGCCGGGTACAAAGATGTACAGTGCCAGGTACCTAGATGTACAGTGCATAGGTACCTAGATGTTCAGTGCCAGGTACAAAGATGTACAGTGCCAGGTACCTAGATGTACAGTGCCAGGTACCTAGATGTACAGTGCCAGGTACCTAGATGTATTGTGCTAGGTACCTAGATGTTCAGTGCCAGGTACAAAGACGTACAGTGCCAGGTACCTAGATGTACATTGCCAGGTACCTCGATGTACACTGCCAGGTACCTAGATGTACAGTGTCAAGTACCTAGATGTAAAGTGCCAGGTACCTAGATGTACAGTGCCAGGCACCTAGATGTACAGTGCCAAGCACCTACATGTACAGTGCCAGGCACCTAGATGTACAGTGCCAAGCACCTACATGTACAGTGCCAGGCACCTAGATGTACAGTGCCAAGCACCTACATGTACAGTGCCAGGCACCTAGATGTACAGTGCCAGGACACATACATGTAGAGTGCCAGATGTTAAAGGGTACAGTCAGTCCACATCTCATGTCAACCCATATTGATAATAATAATATTAATTATAATAATAACAATATTAGTAATAATAATAACAATAACAACAACAGCATCAACAACAGCAGCAACAACAGCATCAACAACAGCAGCAACAACAGCATCAACAACAGCAGCAGCAACAACAGCATCAACAACAACAGCATCAACAACAGCAGCAGCAACAACCACAACAACAACAATAAAAATAATAATAGTTATTATTATTTTTATAAATATTACTCTCGGGTAAGAGCTAAACCCGTATGGGACATGAGGGCTCCGGGAAAATGGGAGGCAATTAGGTTTGATTCGAAGAAGGAGATTGTGGCTCCAGTTTCTTGGAATAAAATCAGTCATTGCACCAGCAGTCATAACACCAGCAGTCATAACACCAGCAGTCATAACACCAGCAGTCATAACACCAGCAGTCATAACACCAGCAGTCATAACACCAGCAGTCATAACACCAGCAGTTATAACACCAGCAGTCATAACACCAGCAGTCATATCACCAGCAGTCATAACACCAGCAGCCTTAACACCAGCATTCTTAACACCAGCAGTCATAACATCAGCAGCCATAACACCAGCAGTCATAACATCAGCAGCCATAACACCAGCAGTCATAACACCAGCAGTCATAACACCAGCAGTCATAACACCAGCAGCCTTAACACCAGCAGTCATAACACCAGCAGTCAT